TCCACTTACATTCAGCATAATTTTTGATAGATATACATTTAATGCCATTTAATTACTTGTTTTATCATTGTTTCTGGAGGACTTTATTTATTTTTTTCTAGTCTTTGTTACTTTGGGTCTGTTTTCCCCCCCCCAAATAAGTCCTCTTTAATATTTCTTGCAGGGCTCATTTAGTGGTCATGAACTCCTTTAGTTTTTGTTTTTCTGACAAATTCTTTCTCTCTCCTATTCTGAATGATAGCTTTGCTGCATAGGGTATTCTGGGCTGCATATTTTTCCCATTCAGCACATTGAATATATCTTGCCAGTCCCTTTTGGTTTCCCAAGTTTCTGTGGAGAGATAGCTGCTATCCTTATTTGTTTTCTCTTGTAAGTTAAGGACTTCCTTTCTCTTGCTGCTTTTAGGATTTTTTCTTTATCATTGTATTTTATAAACTTAAATACAATATGTCTTGGTGTTAGCCTACTTTTGTTGATTTTGATGGGAATTCTCTGTACATCCTGGATTTGGATGTCTGTTTCCTTACCCAGCTTAGGGAAGTTTTCAGCTATTATTTCTTCCCATAAATTCTTTTTCTTTTTCTCTCTCTTTTTTTGGGACTCCTATGATATGAATGTTATTTTGTTTGACGGAGTCACTGAGTTCCCTAAGTCTGCTTTCATGATCCATTATTCTTTCTTTATTGTGTACAGCTTCATTATTTTAAATAATTTTATCTTCTAGGGGCACATGGTTGGCTCAGTGGGTTAAAGCCTCTGCCTTCAGCTTGGGTCATGATCGCAGGATCCTGGGATCGAGCCCCACATTGGGCTCTCTCTGCTCAGCGGGAAGCCTGCTTCCCTCTCTCTCTCTGCCTGCCTCTCTGTCTACTCATGATCTCTGTCAAATAAATAGATAAAATCTTTAAAAAAATAAATAATTTTATCTTCTAGGTAAATTATTCATTCCTTAGTTTCTTCCATTTTTGTGGTCATTACATCCACTTGATTTCAAATCTCACATTGTTGGTTTTTTTTTTTTTTTTTAAGATTTTATTTATTTGACAGACACAGCGAGAGAGGGAACACAAGCAGGGGATTGGGAGAGGGAGAATCAGGCTTCCTGCTGAACAGGGAGCCTAATGCAAGACTCAATCCCAAGACTCTGGGATCATGACCTGAGCAGAAGGCAGACGCTCAATGACTGAGCCACCCAGGTGCCCCCAGCCTATTTTTAGCTCTTTTATATTGTGGTGTCTCCCTGATGTCTTCCATGCCTTTCTCAAGCCCAACATATCCTTATGATTGTTGTTTTAAATTCAGCATCAAGCGTATTACTTGTACATGTTTCAATTAGATCCTTACCATGACCTTATCTTGTTCTTTCTTTTGGGGTGAATTTCTCTGTGTTGGCATTTTGTCTAGGTGTCTTCTTCTGTGTATTAGGAAAGCCTCTTATGTTTCCTGCGTCTGAGAGTAATGGCTTTATGAAGAGTCATATAATGTTTAGGGGCTGGTGTTTCAGGAATTGTCTCTGGTATGTGCTGCATGCACTGACTGTTGTGTTTTGGCTGCTCTGTCCCTCAGTTCAGTCATTCACGGAGGCTCTCCTTGCCTGCAGTGGGGCAGTTTGGACCTTGGCCAGAGTTGGGTGAGATTCAACTAGGTATGCTCTGGTCTGCTTGTTAAATGAGACCTGATGCTATTTCCATGAGAACTGGAGCTTTGCAGGAACTATTGTCAGTAGACATAGTGTGTGCATTGGGTAGGGGCCTTATGCTGGTCTTTGGGGAGAGGGGCCCGCTGTGCTGTCCTTAGCTGCACTTGTCAGAAAAGCCATACCTGCAGAGCGCAGGGAGGCAGGACTTGATGTAAGCAGATTAAGTCAGTGTTGGTGCTGTGCCATTTACTGAAGCTGGTTTATGCTGAGGGGCAGAGTAGGAAAATGGCACCAGGCAGTTCCTTTGTCCCAAGAGGGGAGTCCATGCTTGTGCTCTAAGGAAGCCCTCAAAGAAGAGCAAAAAATTCCCCCCATGTATCCTAGGTGTTTTTCAGATTGCTGATTTTTTTTTTAAGATTTTATTCATTTATTTGACAGACAGAGATCACAAGCAGGCAGAGAGGCAGGCAGAGAGAAAGGAAGGGAAGCAGTCTCCCCTCCGAGCAGAGAGCCCAACCCACGGCTCGATCCCAGGACCCCAGGATCATAACCTGAGCTGAAGGCAGAGGCTTTAACCCACTGAGCCACCCAGCTGCCCCAGATTTCTCTTTTCAAACTGTGCCCATGTTGATTGTCTGCATGAAGTAGAGTAACATATTTTGGGCTCTACAACAGCTTTGTTGTCTGATTTTTAAAACTCCAAACTTCAGGGACATGGTGTGGAGGGGATCTGTGGTGGTCCTCTAGGAAAGAATCTCACTGTGCTGGGATTGATGCTGGTGTGATCCAGAAGGACAGTCATACCAGATCACAGGGGTGTGGGATTATGAGCAAGCAGGCTAAACAACCAGTTTCCAGCTTAGGGGCTCTCAGCGGGTGTCTCTGCTTCCATGCTAAGGGGCAGGGGAGGGAAATTGCACCTTCAGGCTCTTTTGTCCCTTGAGAAGCAACTCTGAGAACATCACCTCTCACAGAAGCACTTCAAGAAGAGTGAACAGGGGCGCCTGGGTGGCTCAGAGGGTTAAAGCCTCTGCCTTTGGCTCAGGTCATGATCTCCGGGTCCTGGGATCAAGTCCCGCATCCAGCCTTCAGGAGCCTGCTTCCTTCTCTCTCTCTCTCTCTCTCTGCTTGCCTCTCTGCCTACTTGTGATCTCTCTCTCTCTGTCAAATAAATAAATAAATTCAAAAAAAAAAAAAAAAGAAGAAGAAGAAGAAGCGTGAACAGTCTCCCCCTGTGCCCATTAGATGATCTTCAGATCACACTATCTACCCTGGCATGTTTGCATGCCTTCATTGCGGGAGTAGGGCAGTGCTCTTAGGGCTCTATCCCAGTCAAGCCTGCCAACTTCTTTAACCAGTATTTGAGCTGCACTGGTTGCAAAAACTCAGGAAAACCAGCCTGTCTCATTTTCCCAGCCACTGGCTTTGGGAAAGTTGTTCTCCTTTTGCATTCCCATGTGCTCCCGTCTCACCTTTCTCTGCAACCATGGCTCCCTTCCCTCTGTAGCACCTGCAATCTGTTTCCCCCAAACTATAGCTTCACATGTCCTACCTTCCTCAGTGTGGCCTCTTTTCTCCTTGTACTTGTGCACCTGGTTCTGTCAGCCTGCAAATGGATTTCTTGGGTATTCAGAATGATTTGATACTATCCGGCTGTGCTCTAGGGAGGAGCCAGACTGGAATCCTCCTACTATGTTGTCATCGAAGCTCTCCGCCTCAATTGCTATCAGTTTCAAGATTTTTCTTAGTGTTTTCTTATATTGTGCTTCTCCTGGAAAAAAAAAATTCTCAGATTTTGTTACCTGGGAATGTGTCATTTTGCCTTCACTTTCAAAAGTAGCTTTTGGGATGTAGATTCTTTATTGGCAGTTGCTCATGCTCTCAGCATTCCGAATACATTGTCCCGTTACCCCTGCCCTCTGCTGTCTCTGCGGAGAATCAGCTCTTGTCTTATTGTGGTTCCCTTTTAGGTGACAAGTTTTCCTCTTGCTGCTTTCAGTATTTCTCATCTCTGGCCTCCACAATTTTCACTACCATGTATCTGTTCTTGGACCTCTTTGTGGTTTTATTCTTTGAGGTCCATTGAGCATCTGGACGTGTAGCCGATTTTCAACAAATTTAGGATGTTTTTAATCATGATCTCTTGAGTATTTGTTGTGTTCCCTCCTCTCTCAATCCCATTCTGCCAGCACATGTGTGTTGGTACACCGGACAGTACCCTACATTTCTTCTATTTTCATTTTTGTTCTCTCTGTTCTTCAGATTGCATAACCAGTCTGTCTTCATGTTCCCTGATTCTGTATCTTGGCAGTTTCAATCTGCTGCTAGCCCCTGTAGTGAATTACTTTATATCCGAGGGAGTTGGTGGTGCTCAGTATAAGGGGTCTCCCAGACCAACCTCGGATATGAGGACTCACTACAAGGGTTCACAGAAATGTTTATTCCACAGACGGATTTATTTCAGAAAAACTGTCACACACAGTGCTCCGTTTACTATGGGGAAAGGGTCTGTATTAAAGTTAGTGAATAGAAAAGGAACATGAAGCAGAAACCAGGATCAAGCTCCAAGTCATCTCCTCTTGATGCAGTTGTACAGACAGTGCTTAATGTGTAATTTCTTTTTATTTTTAAAGATTTTATTTATCTGTTTGACAGACAGAGATCACAAGTAGGCAGAGAAGCAGGCAGAGAGAGAGGAGGAAGCAGGCTTCCTGCTGAGCAGAGAGCCCGATGTGGGGCTCGATCCCAGGATCCTGGGATCACGACCTGAGCCGAAGGCAGAGGCTTAACCCTCTGAGCCACCCAGGCGCCCCTTAATGTGTAATTTCTATAAAATATTTCTAGCCAGGGGAGCTCACCCAGGTCTCGGACTCTGGGGTTTTACTGAGGGTTAGTCATGGGCACTCCTGTGTGAGTGGTTTTGGCTTCTCAGCATCCAGCTCCTCTGGAAGTCTGATACTGTATGTCTCATGGCTCAAGGCCCCACCTATATACACAGACACTTGTCAGTGCATGTGTTCTGAGAGCTTGCAGATTTCCTCCCAGGAGCGGGTCAAGGGCTAGTCTTAAATAATATTCAGGGTTTGGACAACTGAGGTCTGTTACCCTTTTACTGCAGACTTTCCAACAGAAGTATTTACTTAATGTGCATGGCATATCTCCCTGGGCTCTGGTGATAGAAAGGAGTAAGATGAGAGCGGTCGTGATCAATGTTGTGTTACGTTGACTCCTTAGTGGTGCAGGTAAGCCTGTTGGAGTCTGAGCACATATTGTGGGTTGGATTTGAACTTCCTATGAACTGATTTTAGTTTCCCGGAGCTTTCGGACTCACCTTCCTCCTGCACGCATTTGTATGTTTCAGGACTTGGTGATCTTTGAGGATGTGGCTGTGGACTTCACCCTGGAGGAGTGGGCTTTGCTGGATTCTATGCAGAAGAACCTCTACAGAGATGTGATGCTGGAAACTTTCCAGAATCTGGTCTCAGTGGGTAAGAATGGCTGCAGGCCCTCACTTAGTCATTTAGTAAACAAGTATCTCTTGTCGGTGCCTTCCGACAATTTGAAATGTGGAAAAGGAATGCACTGGAAAGTAAAACAGACATGGTCACAGCCATCTCGGACCTGCAACACAGTAATGTCTCCATGACCGTGGGAATGTGTGCATTAAACTGAGATTTTATTTTTGTCTTGGTTCAGACTTGAAGCTTCCTTGGCTTATTGGTAGTGGGGGGCTGGCTTCATCTGTTGTTTTGGTTCACAGAGAAGTTTCTTGGAAAACTTGATAGTTAGTAAATTGCCCGCCCTTCTGGCCCACCCTGCCTGCCGCTGTGAAATGCTAAAAGCACTGAAGTCCTCAGAGTCTTTATTTCCTCATAAGTTCCTTCCTCCTTTAATATGTTCATTCACCTTTTTGTTTCAGATTATGAAACGCTGTTTAAAGCCAGTGGATTGGTTTCTCAACAGGATACGCTTGAGAAAAAAAAATCTATTGAACAGAAAATGGCAAAATTCACAAGAAATCATTCTTGTGCCCACATTTTAGAAAAAAATTGGGACGATGACAGCACTAAAGATCACAATGGAAACCATGCAAGACATCAGAGGTGAGTTGTGTTTATAAGGTAAAGCAGTATTAATCCTAGGACAGAGTTTTGGTATGTCATGAAATTTAAAAAACTAAAAACCAAGCTCCAAATCTATTTTGGAGAGAGAGGACAAGTGGAGTGGGAGAGGGACAGAGGGAGAGGACGAAGCATGACACAGGGCTCGATTCCAGGACCCTGAGATCATGACCTGAGCCGACAGCAGACGGTTAACTGACTGAGCCAACCAGGTTCCCCCAAATCTATTTCAAATTCTAGGAAGGTTTTTAAAAACTTGACCGAGACATCGAGTGTTTGAAGCATAACTCAGTTAGACACTCTTTTAGGAAGACCCCATACAAGATAAATAGTATGAACAGTGAACATGATAGAGGTTGCTTCTAGGGCATTTAGTTAACTTTAAGACGATCCACAGAGGGTAGAAAACTTCTGGATACTAAAATGCAGTTAGCCATCTGGTTCTAATACTTACTAGTTGCTAATAACAAATCATTAATAAACATAATATTGATAAAGTGTTTCTGACTTTTAACAGAAATCCTGCAACAGACAGATTCTGTGAAAGTAAAGAAAAAAATCAACACAGAGAAGCTTGCAGCCAGCTTCCTCATTTTAATTTCTGCAAGAATATTTCCACTGGAGTAAAACTCTATGAATGCACCAAGTGTGGGAAAGGTTTCATGCATCTTTCTTCCCTTAAAAGGCACGTCAGATCTCACTGTGGACAAAAACCACACCTGTGTCAGGAACACCAGCAGGCTTGCATTTGTGGCACACACCTGAGAACTCACACTGGAGAGAAGCCCTACGGATGTAAGTTATGTGGGAAAACCTTTCCTTATTTTACTCTCTCACACAACATATCAGGATGCACACTCCAGAGATAAACTATGAATGCAAGCAGTGTGGGAAAACCTTCCAAGAGTTCTCCAGTCTTACTAGACACGTGAAAACACACACTGGGGAACAGCCATATAAGTGTAAGGAATGTGGGAAAGCCTTCATTTATTCCTCAATCTTTCAAAGACACGTGGTAACACACACAGAGGGAGGCCCTATGAATGTAAGTTATGCAGAAAAGCCTTCCACCATTCTTACTCTCTCACTCAACATATGAAGATTCATACTTCAGAGAAAACCTATGAATGCAGGCAGTGTGGGAAAACCTTCCATGAGTTCTCCAGTTTTACTGGGCATGTGCGAACTCACACTGGAAAAAAGCCATACAAGTGTAAGGAATGTGGGAAAGTCTTTATTTATCCCTCCGTCTTTCAAAGGCACATGATAACACACACTGGGGAGAAGCCCTCTGAGTGTAAGTTATGTGGGAAAACTTTTCGACATCTGTTCTCCCTTGTTCAACATAAAAAGAGTCACACAGCAGAGAAAACTTATGAATGCAAGCAGTGCGGCATAGCCTTCCACGGGTTTGCCAGTCTTACTAGACATGCGAGAACCCACACTGGGGAGAAGCCACATAAGTGTAAGGAATGTGGGAAAGCCTTCATTTATCCTTCCACCTTTCAAAGACACATGATAACACACACTGGAGAGAAGCCCTATAAGTGCAGACAGTGTGGGAAAACCTTCAGTTATCCCCAGTCTTTCCAACGACATGAAAAGACACACACTGGAGAGAAGCCCTAGGAGTGTAAGGAATGTGGGAAAGTCTTCAGTTGGCCTGAAACCTTCCAAGTACATGTGAGGGTTCACACTGGGGAGAAGCTGTATAACTGTGAGTTCTGTGGGAAAGCTTTCAGTTCCCCCAAGTCCTTCCAGGGGCACATGAGAACCCACACTGGGGAGAAACCTTATGAGTGTAAACAGTGTGGAAAAGCCTTCAGTTGGCCTTCAACCTTTCGAGAACACGTAAGAAGCCACACTGAGGAGAAACTGTATAAATGTGAGAATTGTGGGAGAGCCTTCACTTCTTTCAGATCCTTCCAAGGCCATGTGCGGACTCACACTGGAGAGAAGCCTTATGAGTGTGCACAATGTGGGAAGGCCTTTAGTTGGTCCTCATCATTACAAAGGCACGTGAGGATGCACACTGGAGAGAAACCCCACAAATATAAACAATGTGGGAAAGCCTTTAAGTGGCCCTCATCCTTTCGAAACCACATGAGGATGCACACTGGGTAGCAGCCCCAGAAATGCACATAATATTGGAAGAATCTCTGTTAGGCCATGCTTTCTAGAGAAAGATTCGGTAACTGTAAGTAATGTTGGAATATCTTGCACTAATTCATGTATTATACTCTGGGAAGGAAATATAGAAGTTATAAACATGGTATTGTGTTTGTCATTACCTCATTTAACACTGGACCCCTAAATAGTGAGTTTCCGGTTCTTTCACAAATAAGTGCTCATGTAAGAACTCTTAAGTCCTCCTTCAGCGAGGGTGTGGAAGTTTGAAAAGTGTTTTGTTTTTTTGCCTGATTTTTCAATTAATACCATTTGCTTTCTTGGTAGTTTATTTGTGCTACAGTAGTGTGAAGTGTGCTTTTATGTGACACAGAGTTTAACTCTTACATAGTGTACTGTAGTGTAAGTGCGTGACAGTGAGCATCAGATTATAACGCAGCACCTGACAGCATTGCACTGCTGCGGCTTCTGTGTCAGAGACCTCCATGTGGACTCAACGTAGTTGGCTGTAGACTGCGGCTACCAGCAGAGCCACCCGGTACAGAAGCAGGCCACTCTCCACCAGTGAAGTTCCTACTAAAGAGTCAACCTGCAAAACCCGGGGCATCCCACCCTTGACCCCAAAATAGGCAGAACACCAGGTCTTCATTTACTCTCTTACAGCCTTGCTGAGTGGCCCCAGGTGTGCTGTGTACTTCCCAGGACTTGCGAGTAATAGACCTTGTCCTTCTGGGTTCCATGATGGCTATTGCTAAGGTGCGTCTTCCAATTATAATAAGAACCACGGGGAGTGGAGGTAGGAACATATTTCACGCTTCATTTCTTGATGGTTAAAAGGTTTAGGCCATGCGGTATGCACTTATGACTCAATGGCCGTCACAGAGCAGGGCTTTCCAGTGCTTTGCACATGGGTGTGGGTGTAGGAACATCCTGGTAGCCGAACTGCAGGCTGCATTCGTGACCAGCTCTGGCTGCAGTGGGCCACTCCACTGGCCTCTCTTGCATTCCAGCCGGGATCTTGATTGGCGGCTGTAATGTTAACACTATAAATGCTGACTTTACTACTAGGGGTCTGAGTAAATGTTCAGTGATTAAGAAAAGTGGGTTTAGCAGTCTTTGTTTATGCCTCTTGCACCAGGATGGATGGAGTAAATGGACATAAATGTTTAATGTTTACAAATATCATAAACAGTACCGCAGTCATCTGATACACACTGTTGTATTGCTGATTGTAATTCCCACCCAAAGCTGTTCATTTGGGGAGAGCACAGCTCAGGCACAGTGGCCTCTCCACCCACTCCTGACATCGGGCTCATGGGGTTGATGCCCTGCGGAGTTGTGCTCTGCTTCCTGGCAGCCTGAGCCGCCTTCCCTCCCCTTTTTCCTGGAGCAGACACTGTAGTAAGGTGATGGCGACATCTCCAGAAACATCTTCATCTCTGGGCCACATCAGGACAAAATGAATGAAAGGTTGTGCAAATCTGTTTTTGAAGACTTAACATTTCATCTTAAATGGGATGTGTCTGGGAAAGTGGTAGGAAAACATTTTTGTGTGGAAATGCTTTTATTCCTCTTCCATACAGCCCTTCCACAGGAAAGGTCTGGATGAGAGTGGGGGCTTGTGTCTTGCTTTCCCAACGTGGGCCCACGGGCCTATTCCTCTTATCCTTTCCCTGTGAGAAATCTTGGCAATGATTGTGACCATGTGCTGAGTCCTGTACTTTGGGAATGCTGTGGCTACAAGACAAAAGACCAGCCAGTCTTCCCAGTGGGACCCTGTTTGGGGCATCCTTATCCTTGGGCACCAGCAGTGTGTTTCTCCAGCGCCCGTCCTGAGATCTCTCCCAGCTCTGAAGTTCCCACCTCAAGAACAGATGTGTCCTCCTCCTGAGAAGCACCACTGGAGATGCACACCTGCTCCCATTAGGGAGCAGGTCTCTAAGGCTGGAAACAATGGCAGGATCCATGTCACAAGCCACAGCAATCCCCAGAGCCATACAGTCAGCTCAACACTTGCACAATCACATACAACAGTGTCAGAACTACCAAAGGTACATCATGTGCCCAGCCACCCAATGTCCCTCAGTCACCCACTACTGGTTCTCTTGCACAGCCCAGTCTGACCACTTTCTTTGTAAAACACCAAAGAGAAACATACGTGGGGAGAACATAAAAACTACTCATTCTCCAGTTTCAACTTAAATACTCTTTGAAACATTATTATTTTCTCATTATTTTAGTATTTCAAGTATTTCAAATTGTTACCACCTTTTTCAAACTCAGAGACGTGCATGGATGGATGTGGTAACTTTTTAACAGCACAGACCTTAACCTTATCATCAACCTTAAGAGCGTATGGTTCCCCTCAGCAGCAGTGCCTTTTCTTGGACAGTAACAGTAATTATCGTACTTTAATCCAGTGCACGAGAAGAGGCATCCCAAGGGGTATTTAAAGGTACTTGAGAGAAATGAAAAGGAAAATAAAACTTACCAAAACATACAGAGTATAGCAACAGCATTGCTAAGGGAGAATTTATAATCTACAGATACTTATATTAAAAAACAAGAAAAAACAAGACTTCAATTCAACAATCTGACTTCACAACCTAAGAAGTGGAGCAAGAAGAAGCAAATCAAAACCTAGGAGAAGGGAGGAAATAATAGAGATTAGAGCAGAGATAAATGAAAAGGAAAATAGAAAAATAATAGAGAAAATTAAAGAGAAAAAAATTAAAACTTGGTTCTTTCAGATCAACAAAACTGACAAACATTTAGGCGGACTAAGAAAGAGAAGACTCAAATTATTAAAATCAGAAAGGCAGTGAGGACATTGCTACTGAGGCTACAGAAGCAGAAAGGATTACAGAAGAACATGAAGAAATGTACAGCAACAAATTGGACAACTGAGATGGAAGAGGCAGATTCCTAGAAACACAAAACCTGCTGAGAGTCAGTCATGAAGCAACAGAAAATCCAAACAGCTATACTAATAAAGAAATTGAATCAGTGATCAAAACCCTCCCAAGGAAAAGTCCTGAACCTGATGGCTTCACTGGTGAATTGTACCAAACAATTTAAAGAAGAATATTAATACTTATCAAATTTTTCCCCGAAAAATTGAAGAGAAAAGAACACCTCTTAAGCTATGAGACCAGCATCATCCTGATAGAAAAGCCAAGGATTCTACAAGGAAACAAAACTACACACCAGTAGCCCATATGAATTTGTGTGTAAAACTCCCCAGCAAAATACTAGCAGATAGAATTCCGCAGCAAACTGAAAGGACTGCACACCCTGATGAAGTGGGATTTACTACTGAAAAGCAAGGATGGTTCAGCGTCAAAAACGAACCCACGCCATGCACATTAACAGAATGAAGGTAAAAAATCAAATTATTACCTTAAACTGATGCAGAAGCAGCACATGATGAAATCCAACACCCTTTTGTAACACTCCATCAGCTAAGTAGAAGGGAACGACCTCAATATTATAAAATCCATATATGAAAAACCCACAGAGAACATCACACTCCATGGTGAGACTGAAAGCCTTTTTTCTCTCAGATCAGGAATAAGAATGACTTTCACCACTCCCATTTAACATGGTACAGAAGTTATACCCAGAGTAATTAGGCAAAGAAAATAAATAAGCATCCAGCTTGGAAAGGAATAAAAATTATATCTGTACATCTTACAGAAAATTCTAAAGAGTCCACTTATGCACACAAAGCCTTTAAAAATAAATGAGTTTAACAAAGTATCAGGATAAAAAGGTAACACACAAATTTGTTTCATTTCTAAATACAATAAATAATAGGAAAAGAAAATTACAAAACCAATTCTAACTAAAATAGCATCAAAATGAATAAAATATTCAGGACTTAACCACTGAGGCAAAAGACTCATACAAGGTAAAACGACAAATCATTGCTGAAAGAAAAGATCTAATAATGGAAAGACATCATATGTTCATGGTTTAAATACAGTTGTGTGGTTTGTTTTTTTCTTTTCTTTTAGATTTTTATTTATTTGTCAGATCCTGTGAACAAGCAGGGGGAGCAACAGGCAGAGAGCGAAGAAGAAGCAGGCTCCCTGCTGAGCAGAGAGCCCGATGTGGGGCTAAATCCCAGGATCCTGGGATCATGATCTGAGCTGAAGGCAGACACTCAACTGACTAAGCCACCCAGGTGCCCCTGGTCAACTGATTTTGGTAAGTGTGCCAGGATTATTCAGTGGGGAAAGGACAGTCTTTCGATAAATGGTGCTGGGAAACTGGACATCCACATGGAAAAGAATGAAGTGGAATCCTCACCTAATAACATATTCAGACATTACTCAAGATGGATCAAGAACCTACACGTAAGCCCTGCAACAATAAAACTCTTAGAAGGAAACAGAAGAAAAGCTTCGTAACACTGGATGTGGCAGTGAGTTCTTAACAATAACAGCAAAGTCACAAGTAACAAAAGATAAAATAGGGGCACCCGGGTAGCTTAGACGGTTAAGCGTCTGCCTTTAGCTCAGGTCATGATCCCAGGGTCCTGAGATCGAGTCCCACATTGGGCTTCCTGCTCAGCGGGGAGCCTGCTGCTCCCCCTGCTTGTGCTCTCTGCCAAATAAATCTTTAAAAAAGAGAAAAAATAGACAAAATTGGGTTCATGAAAATTCTGTACATCTAAGACAGTATCAACATAGTAAAATGTCAACTCACAGAATGAGAGAAAATACCTGAAAAATCCACATATTTGATGAGACTAATACCCAGAATAAGAACATCTAAAATGCAACAACCCAAAAACCCAAACCTAATTAAACATTAACAAAGGACTTCAACAGACATTCTCTAGAGAATATACATACATGTCCAATAAGCACATTAAAAAACACATGACATCAGGGGCGCCTGGGTGGCTCAATGGGTTAAAACCTCTGCCTTCGGCTCGGGTCATGACCCCAGGGTCCTGGGATCGAGCCCCACATCGGGCTCTCTGCTCAGCAGGGAGCCTGCTTCCTCCTCTCTCTCTCTCTGCCTGCCTCTCTGCCTAATTGTGATCTCTGTCAAATAAATAAATAAAATCTTTTTTAAAATGACATCATTAATCATTAGGGAAATGCAAATTAAAACTACAATATGATACCACTTCAAACACCATGGGGTTGCTTCTAAAAGCAAACAAGAAACAAATGTTGATGAGGATGTGGAGAAACTGGAACCCTTATACACTGTTGATAAAATGGGAAAGCCACTGTGCAAAATACTATGGTAGTTGCTGAAAAATGTAAAAAATAATTACCATCTGATCCAGCAATTCCACTTCTGGGTATATACCCAACAGAACTAAGAGCAGAATCTTGAAGAGATGTTGGTACACTCATGTTCATATCAGCGTTATCCACAATACCTAAAATGCAAGCAACTCACATGTCCACTGATGGATGAGCAGATGAGTCAGATGGAGGCCATACATTTAATGGGCTATTTTTCAACCTTAAAAAGGAAGGAAATTGCAATGTGTAGTGAGACGGATGGCTCTTGAGGACATTATCCTAAATGAAATAAACCCATGAGACACAAATACCATATGATTCTACACGTATGACTAAGAGTGTCAAAATCATACAGACATGTAGTAAAAAAGTGGAGGCTGGGGTCTGGGGCAGGGGAGGGAAGGAGAGTGGGGAGTCAGTGTTTAGTGGGAACACTTTCAGTTTTACCTGATGAAGAGTTCTGCGGAAATGGATGGTAGTGATGGTTGCAAAACAGGTGAATGTATTTAATACTTGTGAACTTTACACTTTAAAGTATCATTTTATGTATATTTTACTGCAATACAAAGGGGGGAAGGTCAGCTGAAGGGCATAATAAAACTATAAATCCATGAC